CGGAATTTACATACCCTACTCATATTTTTTTTTTCCCAAAATCAACATAATGTGGTTCCACCACTGGTTGCAATGCGATCATCTTGAGCATCTTGTTTAAGCTTCAATATAATCAAATTTATCGCAATCAATAACATAATGTTAGTTATTGATTGTGATGAATTTGATTATAGGAACATGCAAGTATGTTGGAATTGACAATTGAGTTGTAATATGTGTTTAAGTGAATGCTTGGTATGATAATAAGTATGAAAAAGTATGAACCATGATTAGTCGAGTCTCATGAATGAGTGGTAACATGTGCTTAAGTGGATAATTGGAGTTATGACAAGCATGAGCATTAAATTGTGGCATGAGATTAAGTATTGGCTATATATTTTTGACTTGATAGCATGTTCTTATTTATGAGATAAGTTAATTAAGTTAGCATTATGACATGTCATTGAATAACATGAGTATGTTACATGATCATGGATGGGTGAGAGTTTATTCGAGTGGGTAAGGATGTTATGGAATCCACACAGTGTAACATTCTCTAATATTTGAGCACAATTGTTGGCATATTTAATTACAGTGCATTTATGTCCATTGCCCCTTAAGGATGGCATATGTGAGCATGCCAACTGGGATCACTAGTTTCCTAATGAGGACAATGTCGATCAAGTAACTATAACACCTTAGTAATTTGAGAAGAGGGAATCCATAGTTCAAAAGTAGGGAGCAGGCGTATTGGCCAAATCACCCCTCATAGTTAGAGAGCGTGCCTAATTCGATCACACAGGTTAGTGTTATATGATTTGGTAGCCTATGGGTTCACTCATAAAATAAAAGGAGAGGAATAAGGATGAAATGCACATGATCATGCATAACTGTCATCATTAAACTATATGCCATGTGAGTAGTGAACTAACATAATGTTAAATGTGAATCTTTGCCTTACGTGCTTGTATTTGCCACACTTTTATGTACTTAAATTTATGTGTCTTGGATATTAAAATTGTATAATTTCACTTACGTTTGCTAATACTTTTTTAAGTAACATTGAGAGTAAAGGCAAGGGGGGAGGCATTGAAAGCTAGAGACTAGAATTTCCTCTTGTAAAGTCTCTATTAATTTTATGTATATGTTGAATGCTTATTTGCCAACATAGGTGTTTTGCAGGAGTTTAATTTGATATTAATTGTATGTCCCCGTTGTAGACTTGGGTAGTTTTAGTTAGGGCCTTCTTGTGGTTTTGTTGAATAGGACCAATTATGTAGTTAATGTGATTAATGAATTGATGACTGAGTTACAAAGTGGGTTATTGCATGTTTACTATGCATGTGATATATGCAAGTTGTTAATAGAGTATTTTTATAACTATTGTAGTTTTAAAGGAAATTATTCCACTTAATAAATTTGCACTTGACAATACTTGATGACTTACTTGCCTTTACCCTTTGCCATGTTGTCAATATGACAATTCTCGTTGTCAAGTTGTCAATAGAATAGTTTTATAATTTGTATAGCTTTAAAGAAAATTCTTCCACCTAATAAATTTACACTTGTCATTACCTAATAACGTACTTGTCGTTAGACTCATTTGTTTAAGATTAAAAAATAAATAATTTTTATATAGTTTAGAGATTTTTTTAAAAAAAGGTATTTATTTTATAGAGATTTTATAAAAAAAATAATTTTATGTTTGGTTACAATAATAAAAAGTGATTATTAATTAATTATTTTTAAATTTTATGATATCTACCTTAATTTTTGTCTTATAAAAATGATTTATTATTATATTATTTTAAAATTTTATGATATTTTCACGTATCTCACATCTTTAAAATACTTTCTCTAATCTATAGTATTAGATTATTTTTAAAATCTAAAGTAGCTTTTTAAAATAATCAAGAATATTTTTAATTTTTGATTATTTTTAAAATTTTAAAAAATATAATAAAAATTTACAAAATAGATTTCCAAAAAATAGGCCAAAACGAACAAGCATATTATCCTTTGTTATATTGTCAATAGAGTTTTTTTTTTTATTTTCAATTTAACATAAAATTTTGTAACCTAATAAATTGTAACATCACTACTATAAAAATACATTTTTACGTTGTTAATTTACATCAATTTAAAAAAAAATTATGTAAAAAAAAGGTGGTGGCATTTTGTAATTTTTTGAAAGGTCATTTACATTGGTTTTTAGCAAAACCAATGTGAAAAACATTTTCCACATTGGTTATAAAAGGAATTGATATGGAAAATTTAATTTTTTCCAAAAAAAAATCTTTTTTCTTTCACGTCAATTATTTGAATATAGATATCTCGTCAGTTTTTATCCAAAATTGATGTAGTATCTCAATTTAAAATTTGTTACTCTTTAGTTTCACTTAACCTTAGTTTATTCATGCCCATGATGCCACTCCCCTCCCCTCCTCTCTTCTTCTTTTCTCACTTAAAGGTTTCACTTTTCTCCTCCTATTAGTCATCGATCCAAAGCGGCTGAGTCTTATCATCCTTCGTTGCCATTGTCGCCGTTTGGGTTTTATAGATATGCATCTTCCATGTTTGCTCCATTTGAAATACAATTGAAAGAGTTACCTTTTATCCTCCATCTCTTTATTTCCCTTCTAGTTGAAGTGCCCTTACATTCCTCTTCAACTTTCTTGGCCGTGGGTGGTGTATTAGTGGCTGTCAGTATATGGCTCTTTCACTTGTAGAGTCTTATCCTTGCCATTTCAACTTATGGGTGCGGATATTGCTCATCTTCTTCCATCTTCCTCTTTCATTAGAGAACTCTTCTACTATAAGTCTTTATTTTTATTTATTTTTCTTAATTTTTATTGCCTATTGATATTGTGATCAATTGATTTAATTGAATATTTGTATAGTTTGATATTTTAATTGATGAATTTGTTCCTTCAAATATTTTTTTAATTCTGAAATTTATATTTTGTAATAATAGTTGGGTGTATGTGGAGATGAATTTGGGTATTTAGATTGTTTGGTTGCTTTAGTTAACATTATTATTGATATTGTATTAATGATGTATTTTTGGGATGTCTTAAAAATAAGGGAAAACTTTGACAAAATTTTTAAAAATTAAATGAAACCTTATCTTAAATTAGTCATTGCTATTATTGAAATCCTTTTAATGTTGTATAGATAAATTTGAGTATTTAGATTATTGTTTTGATTTAGTTAACATTGCTATCAATATTTGATTAATTATAAGGTTAAATAACAAATTTAGCTTTAAATTATTTTTTAAAAAATACTAGGTATTTTATACTATAGGTTGGTGTAAATTAATTCATGAAGTGAAAAAAAAAAAAAAGACGTAGCCTCTAGCAACCTCTTTCTAACATGAACAAATGTCCTTTTTGTTTTTAACTATGAGCCCCACATTCATTACAGGTGGCCCATTCTTAAGCACTCTTTCAGACCCTTGTCTCTTGAACCTGGGTGATTTGATGTCAAAGTCCACGCGTTTGACGACTTCACCTCCTTGGACCTCTATCTCGGCAAACTCTACCCCGATGACATCTGTATAGCAAGGATACATATATGAGAAGATACAAAGTTGGGATGCTTGGTTAGAGGGCGGGAGAGGCATAATATGAGGTGGGGTCAAAGGCATGGGCATTGCTCCTAAATATGATTTGGAAGGCAAGTTTCACAATCTAAATCAAATAATAGATTTCTAAAATTAAAGGACAATGAATAACCCAGGCTTTTGATCACCAATGGTGACAGAATTGATACACGTTGTTTGAGGGCTTAGTTCATGTTCTTGTCTCCGCTAATTATTTTAACATTTAAGTTTGCGCCCTAACTAGGTACTCCTTCTCCTTTCACTCTTCCTCCCTCTTACTTGTTGACAAACTTGCATAGTCAATCTAAGTAATTGATTATCTTTATTTTCTCATTTACTTTGAGTATTGAGGCCAATGATCCGCTTTTCAAGTTATAATTAAAAAGGAAAAAAACATAACGGTAATAAATTTGATAATAAATGCTCTAGTAAAGTTAGAGCTAAAAACACCAAGGAATGAATGAGTGCAATTTCATTGGATACTCTTCTTTTGATCAACAATTTCACTATAGAGGATGAAGGCACAAAGGACTATAGGTGGGAGGCTATCACATTTTGCAAATGAATGATACCTTCAAGAATGGGGACTATGTTATTCAAAGCAAGTTTGAGAGAGAAAAAATGAAATTATTAAATAAATGTAGGCCCATCATTTAAGAATAAAAGGACATTTGTTTAAATTAGATGAATGATGGCAGGTGCTACGTTTTGTTTTAGTTTATGAATTAATTTACACCACCACATAATATATAATATATGATACTTAATGTTTTTTGAAAAATAATTTAAAGCTTAATTTGCTGTTTAACTCTTAATTATATATTTTTGGGGGGTCATAAAAATAAGGGAAAACAAACAATAATTTTTTTTAAAAAAAATACTAACAACATTAGTTTTACAAGAAAGCTAACGTGGAATGTCCACTTTGTGCAAAATGGACTATTTATGCTATTTCCACCAAATCCACCCATAATTGCTTGTGAATAGTTGATCAACTTTGATAGATTCACCCTCTAAAAGAAGTTTTGGTCTTTGAGGTATCATATCAATCATTTCACAGCCACCTAATGCTGGAATAATTATTCATGGTCATTTTGAAGAAATGCTTTAAGAAGGAGATAAATTAGTTACATTTATACGTGAAAAATTATGGCCCAATGATATAATAAAGTGTCTTCCAAAAGTGGGACAGATATGAAAAGTGGGTTTGATTGATTCTGATGATGGGAGGTGATTTTTTTTCCCCAAATATTAGAGGCAATTTGGTCTTTTCACAACAAAATTAAATTAAATTTAGATTTCTCGGTCCGACAAAATAAATTTAGAATTGTTTGGTATTTTGTTCGCAATTTCGAGCTTCGTTGGTCTTTATGTGCATTTTCTCCAAATAATTCTGGATTCTAGGTTTTTAAATATATCGACCCCCCTCGTCTTCCGCTCTAGATTGTGCCGTCCCTGTCCCTGAGCAACGCTCGCTAGTCTGCTTGAACAACATCACCGCGCCACTTTTGGGTTCTCTGAATCTGAATCGTCTGAACAAAAACCCCTTCAAATCTAATCCTTCAGTATCTGCATTTTTCTCAGGTTCTTTAAACTTGTATTACTTTTTTTTTTTTTCCTTATATGCTCCTCTGCATCACCGAGTAATTTGTGCATTCCCCCCCCTTCTTTTTCTTAGTTGGGTATTTGACTTCTGTAGTTTTACCTTCATATGTATAATTCCTGATCTCGTAAGCAATGTCTTGGCGTCAATTTTGTTTGCTAAGATCAATTTTTTTTTTGGGTGATATTTAGAATGGGCGTCGGCCGTGAAGTCTCTATCTCACTCGATAGCGTGAGGGACAAGAACATAATGCAGCTAAAGAAGCTCAATATAGCTCTTTTCCCTGTTCGTTACAATGACAAATACTATGCCGATGCCCTTGCTTCCGGCGAATTTACTAAACTAGGTGGGGCTTTCTGTGGCTTTGTTTTATTGTTTGTAAAATGTTCTGGATATTATGAGCTGATTCTGTTTCTTTACTTTGCAGCTTCTTTTTTCCTCCCCAGCTTGTGCTTTGCTCATCCGTTAGCTTCTAATCTTTTATTGTTGTTTTACCACTTGGCCTTTACTTTGGCATTCAGTACTCGTAAACTTTATTTATTATTTCTCTTTGCTACTATTTGATTTATTTTGGATATTTTTTCTTTCGCTTTTGCTGGCCTCTGCGGGATTGAGATAGGAATATTATCACTGTTTTGTGGTTCAAATTGTTTTTCATGCATAAAAAAATGCTGGTGTGAAAATCATCAGAAATTTTCTTGGAACCCAGTGGAACAATTGAGTGCCTCTTTCATTTAGAATTAAAAGAGTTCTGTTAGTTACTTTCTAAGTCTGCAGATGATTCTGATGAGTGGGAAATTATAAGGAGGATGACAAGCTAAAAATCAATGGAGGAAAAAAAATGAATGGCTGAGTTTAATATGCTTGTAAATGTATCCTTGGTAGCTTCTTACTTTTTATTTGATGCTGAACCCAAGAGTTTACTGATTGTTTGCTGTAAATTTAATCTATATGTAAAAATGCTGAACTTTGGTATTAACACTTTCTCCTTTCTATCATTTTGATTTATTTTTGGAGAGCTCTCTATATGTTTCAGGTTGCAGCAATCTAGTGGGTAATGGAATAAGATACATCTGGTTTACTGCATGCCTTTTGGATTATTATTTTGAAACTATTGCTTTTGGTCTTATGTGAATCTTGAGCTTGCACTAAAGTTATCTGATTGTATCATGGCCTTGCCTTCCGCTTATCTTAGTTGTAATAGTGTAACATAGTGGTGACGACGGTATTGTAAGCTAGAAAGTTAGTGCAAAACCCAATTATCATGGGCTCCAAGACTGTATATTGTGTTAGAATGGTAGAATCCGATTGTAAGGTACTTGTGTTCTGCATCAGGAGTATGGGATTCAGGTTTGGGGTTAATAGGGACTTTCTGCCCTCAGACCATATGAACTTGCTTTTGGGATTGGTATTTATAAGGAATACCCTGGTTTTGCATAAATATTTCTATCATCTGGTACATAGCTTTCCACAATATTTTAGTTGCAAGTAGGTGGCTTAGAACTTGATCCTATTATTGTAATGATCAGCCAAAGCCATTTAGTTACTTAAAACAGTTGCTATGGAGTGAGGAGGAATATTAGGACCCAAATGCAATGTATGGGACTTGAGTGAGTCCCACATCGAGTATGGGATTTTGATGTGAGGCTTATCTAGGTCATGAGCTTTCCAACCTCTTGAGCTTGATTTTGTGGTGTAGCTCTACTGAAGTTCCTTTGCGATTCTCTGTCTGTTGTCAGTAATTCTAACTATTCATCTAGTTCTCTGAACTTCAGCTAATGCTAAAGTTCACTTCGTCACATGGTAAACTTTCTTTTGCTTATTAATTCCTGTATTGTTCTGGTAACCAAAAACTACATACAAGCTGTGTCTTATAATTTTTTTTTTGGAGTGGGCTTGGTAGCATAAGAAAATATTGTTTTCTATGAAGACTTTCAAGATGTCTCTTTCATGTAGTTTGTTTGCTTGTCATGAGTTTTTTTGGTAAAAGCTTGTAAGATAATTCCTTTGATTTGGTCATTGCAAATTATTTATTGTTATTCTTTAAGGAAACACCTCTGCTATTTTTAAGTAATTTGAGTTTACTGCTTATACTATTTAAACAGGTTTTGCTGCAAATTTTTTTCCTTATTCTATTTCTACGGCCTATCATGCTTGTCAGACTCAGACAGTATCTATTGTATTTCAAGCGGTATAATATGGCTTAAACAGTATAATGCAATTATTTACAAGAAAAGTGCGGAATATATGGTTGGATTTCAAGTGGAATGTTTTGCTTGTTTTGTGTGCGGAACATCCATAATCATAATCGCTGATTTCTGTGACTGTGTTCATTACCAAAATACTTTAGCAACTTTTAAAATTGACTAACATTCTGGTTTCTTTCAGCTTACTATAGTGACATATGTGTTGGTGCAATTGCATGCCGGCTAGAGAAGAAAGATGGTGGGGCAGTCCGGGTTTACATAATGACTTTAGGTGTGCTAGCACCTTATCGTGGACTTGGTATTGGTAAGCAAGTCGAAATTCTTGCTGAAGTGTCGCTTGATTTCTGAATTGATCTTTTTATTTAGTATTCTTTTCTGGGTCCTCCATTTGCCAAAGTATACTCCAAAGTTAAAATATGACTCCTATTTAAGATGTTAGCCTCATATGTGTTATAATTTGATTTTCATTTGACTATAGGCTACGTTAAAAAAAAAAAAAAAAGTCAATTCCTATTAACCTTATTATCTTCGTTTCCGTATTTAGTAGATACTGGTTTCGAGATATGACTTTTGGGTTCCATGCAGGAACAAGGCTGTTGAATCATGTTCTTGATCTTTGTTCCAAGCAAAACATTTCAGAGGTCTACTTGCATGTGCAGACTAACAATGATGAGGCCATAAACTTTTATAAGAAATTCGGGTTTGAAATCACAGAAACTATTCAGAACTATTATACAAACATCACACCTCCCGACTGCTATGTTCTCACCAAGCAAATCGGTCCAAGCTCAACAAAGAAATAACAGTCCAGCCTTCAGACCCAATTATTTTGGAGGAAGTCATTAAACATGCTTGCATTATTTATGACACTTCTCCATGCATGTACCATACTATAGTTTGGGAATTTCTATTTCTAGATGTTGAACAGTAAAGTTGAAAAAAAAAAAGCATTGGGAGATCTTACTGGGAGATAAGATATTGCTTGATATAATTCCCTCCCCTGCTTTCCCTCCTTTCTTTTCCTCTAAGATACTAATAATTTTGTATCCTGTACTAGAGTTTCCTTCATCTTGGAAGTTTTCATTCATGAGTTGAGGCCATTAATTGCATTTGATTATCCAAATATCAAAATTTTTTTAGCTTATAAAAGTTTTCTTACTCTTTGCAGCACCTGCAATGGCCATAACTTATTGGCAATTTGACCAAGGGTATGTTTGGATTCCCCCCGTTTTTGCTCATTAGGATGAGTTCGGATTGAGTTTGAGAGCACAAGGGAATGGAAGAAAAATTTAAATTTAAATTTGGAAAAAATTGCCCAAAAATCCTGCAAAATGTGCATGGATAAATGATTTCAACATCGATAATCATGAGTGTGGTAAGGTCTTGGTTCTAAAGATCGGGAAAGATCAACAAGTAAAGGATGGCATAAGTTAGTATATAACAATTCAATTTAATGAAATCGTAGGAGACATTAGTTATTTAAATCAGTTAAACTTGGGAAACATAAAGTTATTTAAATTAGATATACCTAGGGATGGATTTATGGGGGGCATGGTGGGGTGCTCCCCCCCCCCCCCTAAAAAAAAAAAAAGAATCTACCTCCCTTTAAAAATTAAAATTATGAGAATTTTTTATAAACATTGATAAAATTGATTTTGGCCTCCTATGTTTCATCTTATTTGCAGTTTTTCACTCCCATGTTTATCATTGTGGATCCATCCCTGAATAATTGAATATACCAATCAGTTTTCATGAAAACAAATGTTTTCTTATGACTACCTTTCGTAAAGAGAAAAAACAAGTTTTTCTTAGACATATCATTTTTATAGGTTAAAAAAAAAAAGGTTTTTCAACGTCTCAAATTCTAGGAAGTGAATTTATTTGAATATCAATTCTTGTTATCATGAAAAATGGAAGAAATATGTACTTGGTGGGAGAGTATTATTGCATATCACGGAAGGACATTGCATATGGATGAAGAAAATGTATACCAATAGAAGATATTTGCAAATTGTGGAAGGTATCTGCATTTCGTGGAGGATATATTGTACTTGAAGACATATTCTACCTTGTGACAATTTTGCAGCTAATGGAAGGAATTTTGCTTATACAGAAGAAATACGTACATGAAGGGAGAGTATTGCATATCACGAGAAGACCTTGCTTATGGGTGAAGAAAATGAGTATCAATGGATGATATTTGCATGTGGTTGAAGACTCCTGCATTTTAAAAATTTGTTAGAAGAAACCACAAGCATTTGGATCAACTAACAAAAGTTGTTTTAGCTTAATTAGAGAGCTCGAGTTTGAATCTTGAAAATGCAGTAGTGTAAGTGGTTAAGGGTGGCCATTCTTGTGGTGCTTGTCATGCTTTTATCTAGATTAGTCTAGGCCCTGTTAAGTCCTCACAACTTGAGTGAGGTAGGCCCAAGATAACAGATGCTCATATAACTAAAAAAATAAAAAAAGAATTTGTTAGTATATCCTGAAAAAGAAGGTTCCATAATATATCATAGCCTCTATTCATTTTCATGATAACAGAAATGAATATTCGAATAACTTTACATCCTGAAGGTTGAAATGTGGGAGACCAATTTTTTTTTTTTTTTCCTTCATGAAACCTGTCACACTATCCTAAAAAACGAGGTTTCAATACGTAACATAACCATTTTTCATGATAACAAAAAATAGATATTCGAATAAATTTACACTTGAGATTGAAACGTGGGAGGCCATATTTTTTTTTTCATGAAAATCTTTCATAATATCCTGAAAAACTGCGGTTCCAAAATGTGACACAGCCTCTATTTATTTATTTTTCATGATAAAAGAAATGGATATCTTGAAATTTATAAAATGATATGTCCAAAAGAATATTTATTTCATGAAAAGCATTGCTATATCATGAAATGACATCTATATATAGTTAGATTTGAAGCAGAAATTGAGGAAAGAAAAAAGAGGTACATGAAGTTGAACATTGACATTGTTAATGGTCTATCCATGTACACTGAACAATGAGTATCAACTAAAACCTTTATAACTTACATAATGGCATGAATATTTACGAAAAAGGGAGCTTTTACAGATATAATCTAAACTATAGGACTAAATTAAATAAACAGCCTAACATTTATTATATTTTTCCTTATAATCAATATATTATATTTGTTAATGATATACCATTATATATCAATGATGAATTCTTTATAAATTTAAAAATTTTTAATAATAAGCCCCTTATATATTAATAATAAACTCCATAAATATCAATGTAAATTAGTCATACTTCTAAATTTTTTAAAAATTGATCCATATTTTTTGGGCACAAGATTTTTTTCAATCAATGGGCTAATTTATCCTACAAAAAATATAAATAAGAATGAGATTCCTAATCTACTTTCCTTTCTTCACACATAACTTTCCCATATGATTTATGCGCCAGCACCTTCTCCTGATGTTTATTCTTGTCATGGGCGACTAGTCACCATGCCGCTTTTACCCTCTTCTTCTTATCCTCTTGCAAAAGATATATTTACATCAGCCATTCTAATCAAGCAAGAATGGTAAAAATTTCTTTGAACACTTTATTTATGCATGCTTCACGTTACCTTGGGCATGGTCAAAATTCCCACTCTGATTTCCTTCCTAACATTTTCCCAGCACTGTGGTAATAATGATATGACATGCATCCCACAATTATACAAGAGATCAGTACAAGAGGCAAGGAAACATGACATTGATCATTACATCAATATGATCATTCAATGAAACATTTGATTATCTTAATAGCAAACAAATTTTAGCTTCTCAAATTTTTACAGCTTCAAAACATAGAGCTTTCAGCTTCAAAACATACATCTGTTGCATTGTATACTTTGGTCTACCGTAATTATCGGAAGATTATATCATATTTATATCATAGTACAATATTATTTACCTACCAAAAATTGTATCATATTTCAAATTTCCTTAAATTGACTTTGGGAGGATATATTTCTAAGAAATTCCCATGAGTGCTACGTAGCATTTAATTGAATTTCACATGGAAAGTAAGATACCAACCGTTACAATAATTGGGTTGGGGGATTGCTAAATTTCAGTTTTATAAAAATCATTATTATGATCGATTATTATATAAAAACTTCAACTTCATTATTATCATCTTTCATATCATAAAACTAATACCAGCATCACGTGACCATCACAAAATGAACAAAAGATTTGAGGTTGATCTTGTCAGCAAAAATAAAAATAGTATGGTAAGTTGTTAGATGATTCATAAATTTTGGAGGAAGATTTATAAATAATAATATTTAAAGTATTAAATATTACAATATCAATAATTTAATAAGATATTGTTGAAACAAAAATATTAGATTTTATAGTTAAAAGATTTTTTGCTCCTCAACTATATACTTAAATACGTCTGATATCATAAACTTACATGTTGTACAATTTTTTCCTTTAGTATTTGAAAATGGTGTATTGCGCACCCTTCCATTGAAAAAGTTAAATTTGACTAATAGTTGGTTCATAAAATTACAAAAAAGGACTTCAAAAAAATTAAACAAAATGATCCTAAAATTAAAATTAAGTGCCCTATAAAAAATTAATATTGTTTGAGTTTTGAAAATTTTTTTTATAGGGTACTTACATGTGATTTTTTAGGTCATTTTTTTATAATTTTTCAAATTCTTTTTTATAATTTTCTAAATCAATTAATTATTAAAGTTAACTTTTTAATGAAATGGTGTTTAATGTATCATTTTTAAATGTTAAAAGCGAAAGTCACGCTACATATAAGTTTAGAATATGAGATGCTCTTGAGTTAATAGTTAAGGGGCAAAAATTTTCTCTAACCTTACTTTTTAATTACTTATTGATGTTGCTGCCTACAATGGTAGTCCAATAATCATGTGGTAGTAGGTTAAAGTGATTGATCAAAATAATATTTTAATCTTTTACATAGATAAGAAATAACATTTGTCTCTTAATATTTACTTATAATTTGGAAGACTTAATTGATATAAACTTTTATATGATTTTTTTTGTAATTTTTGAGGTCTATTTCTAAATTTTTTTGGTCAACTAACATTTAAAATTAACATTTCTTAACAGTAAAGAAAAATTGCATCATTTGTAATTATTGAAAGGAAACATTGGAACCAAAATTTTTTTTAAAATACTTGACACTCTTTCATGAATACTATTTAAGGGGCAATGAGCATTTACAACTTAAAAAAAAAAATGACAACTTATTATAACAAGTTATAAATGCCCTTTATTAAGTTATAAATGGATATGATTTGAAATTTTGGAATATTTTATAAATTTTATGAAATCTCTTGATAATAAATTATTATTTGTGAGGCTTAGGTGTTATTTTTCTATTTCAAAACTCCTCACAAATCTCGAAATTCCTCTATTTATTTTGGAAATATTTTAAAACTAATCTGAACTTCGAAATTTCTTTCAGCCTTTCATATTCTAAATAATTCTGTAAATTTCGAAAGTGCCCATGAATTTCAAAATTACTTGTTTGCTTTCAAAATCTGAGCTCATATGTACTTCTTTGATTGTCCTTGGGCAAATTCACTTCGTTGATCCTGAACTCATTTGTTCTGTAAACTCTGATTAGATTCTTCTTAAAGCTGGATTCAATTTCTCACTCGTTTAACTCGTGATTTCTTTGGGCTTTTCTATTTAATCAATATTATTCAAAATCAAGAGAAGTTTGTATATTTTTGAAAGTGTTCTTTTGTTTTGAAATAAGCCAATATTTTCTACTTACGAATTTCAAAATTCGTTACTTTCGAGATTGTCTCAACAGTACTAATGTCAGAAGTACACACTTTTATTTTTTTTTTTTTTCAACCCATTCTGGACTAAAACGAGTAATCCACTAAAAAAAAAAAAAATTCGTTCTTCCATCTTTTTTGGGTAACTCAAAACCGTTGGCATTGATTAACATTGGATAAAGTAACATGACAAAGATCAAAACTCAATGGGCAAATTAATGAGTCTCACTAATAGTTTGCACCTAAACACTATAAATAAAACTTATTTATGAAGATAAAAACTTCAAGATTATAGGCTTCAGCATTCAATACTCCAACTACTGTATGTATATTCATTTATTGTGAATTTCATTTGATATATATCCACCTTTTTTGAGAGATTTAATATAATTGATCACTTGGATGATCATACTCTGTTATACTTGTTTTCCATACTTGAAAAGAGAGACTTATGTACAAGACTTTTAACTGGATTCTTTGATTACTTTTGTAAGAAAGAGTAATTTAGACTTGAAGTTTAGTTTATATTGAAGTTTACAAGAGCATAAATTAATTTTGGAAGTTACATTGAAAAATCTCAATTGATAAGATTTGGAAACTGGACGTAAGCAAATTGTTAGCTAAATTAGGATAAATCTTGTGTGTTGATTTTCTTCATCTCTACCTTGAAAAATGATGGTGATAATAACCCTTGTATGAATTTAAATTTTGCTAAAAAAATTTTATAGCCAATTTAGCCTCCTCTCAAGCTCATTGAGAGATTTAATAGCATCCTCAAAATAATTTCAAGATTCACTTTTATTCTATAAAATTTTCCTAAACAACTTTTAACTTTTGGGGAGTGCCAAAAGCACATTCCGAAAGTTAAAAGCTAGTTTACCATATGAGCCCTTGCATCCATCATCACCCCAACTCTCTATGTTCTAAGGCAGCTGCTGAAGCAAGAGTTGAGGGAGTTTTTTTTTTTTTTTATATATTTTTAAGTGAAGCATATTATAGAAATATAATTAAAAAAAACTTAATGTTAACAAAGTTTTTAAAGACTGCAATTACATACGAGATTTTGTTGTCAATAGGGTATTTTAGTGGTACTTGGATGTCATTCTCCCAATTTAGATTTTGGTTTTGGTTTTGGTTTTATCTTATTTTCTTTTCTTGTCTTTTGTTTTTGTTTTTTTCAATGTGGAAACGAACTTTAATGTTAAAGAATAGAACAATTAAGTTCCAGCTAAAATTGAAAATCCAAAAAAATAAAAAAATATAAAATCTTACAAGTTCCCAAATTTAATGCCAGCAAGACTGCCCAGAAAGGAGAAAATGATGAAGTTTGCTCATTGAAGCCACAGGTGTTAAATAAATCAATTAACCAAGATAATTTATATTAAATAAAATCGTTCTGAAATTGTAGAAAATTAAATGAAAATGAAGTCTTCGTCTCTTTCATGAGCTTTATAGACATATAACTATTCAGTTAACTTGCCAAAAGGATACAGTCAAATTCAAATACTGAACTCATTAGAGATGGTATTAAAATTAAAAAAAAAAAAAAAACCGAACTAACTGGCCTAGTGGATTAGACCAATATCCCAGTAAACCAATCACCAAGCTGGTCCGATTGATGAGCTGATTCAGGGAGGCTATAAACCGAATTAACCTTGTCAACCTAGCTTTAACTTGAAAAAACCCGATCAACCTTACAAGTTAATGGGTTAGCCCAAGTTTATAATTTTTTTTTTCCTTATCTTTTCTCCATTCTTTCTTTTAAATATTGAACCCTAAATTAATTCTAAATCACTTGATTAATATTTTTAATGTTATTGAATTTTATTATGTTCATAAACTTATAATTAATATTTGGGGATGATAAAACTTTTAATCCCTCATGTTTGTATCAATCATCAAATCAATCTCTTAAGTTAATTTTTATCAATTTCATCCCTTAAGTTTATTTTAATTATCGATTTAGAACTTATTGTTTAAAGAAGTTACATTATTAAAATTTGCTAACTTGGATAACAAAATGTTGATGACAATCATGTAAATTAATGAAAATGAATATAATTATTTAGGTATGAAAAAAAAAATTTTGAAGTTTCAAAAAACAAAAAAACAAAACACACTATAAGGAATTACATTAATAAAAATTAAATTCATTTGAGAGTTAATTTGTTCTCATTTAACCATATATACATGTCAAATCATCAATATGCTTTATACATTAGATCATTTTGAAAATCAATGTGTTTTAAAACTTAAAAAGAACTTACATGATAATTATAAAAAACATAAGGAATTAAATTAATAAAAATTAAACTTAAAGAACTAAATTAATAATGTGTAGACAAATTTAATGAATTAAAAATTTCATTATCCCTTCATATTTGCACAAGGCAAGTTAAAATTTTATAAATGGATCTTTCATTTATTTGAAAATTAAATATTTCTTCATTTGAGTACTACTATTTTTTATAGTTAAATATGAATATTTTTGCATGTTTTAAGTTAAAATATATTGTTTTAATCATGACTGAATTGACTCCAAATTGACCCATAATTAGACCACTATCTTGACCAACTTAAGGAGTAACCTGATTTTTAGTTCCTTTGCATTGAATGCTATCCAAACTCATTTCAATGCTTTGGCCCCAAAAAAAAAAAAAAACATTTCAATGCAATTAACAATATTAGTCTTTCCAGGATAAGCACAATCCAATCCAGAGCAACAGAAAATCCAATGATAGCCAATTCCCGATAGAAGAAGCAGGGGAAGAAACAATAAGAAGCTAGACTTGTGCCTGAATCTGAAAGGTGGAATGACCCAACAATATCATCCCTCCAACAGTTTAGAAGCTGACAGCAACAGCAACATTAAAACCCAAGCTATCAAAAGTTATAAACTGAATCAGACAGAAAATCACAGCGTGACGATAGTTAACACCAACAAGCCTCCAAGAATAGAGAATGAGAGAATCAGTGAGAAAGATAGCCTTGAAAAAAAAAAAAAAATGTGGTCTGCAATTTCTTCATTGATGCAAGAAATCTTCCTCTGAAGAAGCATATGTTAAATAGGGTTGACATTAGCCTCAATAGAGGAAATTGTTGATGTGCAAAAACACCCAAAAGCTTTTTCTCTAGCAACTTTTGATATCTTTAAATCATCAATGGTGTATGGATACCCATAAACTTTATAAAAATGATCAACATCCTCCAATCTGTTAAGTCCTATCATTAGGACTTAATGGTCAACATTAGGTTATTTTAACAAATTGAGTAGTGTTGACCTCTTTTATAAAGTTAATAGATACATATGTATTATTGTTAACTTAAAGATATCAGGAGCTCCTGGAAAGGAAGTTTTTGAATATTTTTGCAACTTAATCCTAGAGGAAAACCATCAATATGGCCTATAATCCAAGCAAATTTCCCAATAAGAAATATAACAATCACAAGGTGGCTGAGATACAACCAAGGTTATAACCAACCATTGAACTCCCATCAATTAACAAAGAGGTATGTAATCTTTAGAAAAACTCACCAATAGAATCTTATCAATAGAACTGAAGGACGCTTGTCCAAGTGGTTGTGACTTGTGACAGCTTAACCTGAGGTCTCGGGTTCGAATCTTAGGGTATGCAGTAGCACAGCTGAGCGTGTAAATGGGTCACCTAAGGTACCTGCAAGAACCACCTCAAAGTGGCACCCTAAGTAAGGGGTCTAGATTAGTTTGGAGCGGGTTGGGTGGGTAGAGAACCCAACATACCCAGACACTTCAAGATACCGGGTGCGAGAGCCAAAAAAAAAAAAAAAAAAAGAATCTTATCAATAGACATATTCTCACGGACCCATTTTCAGACACTAATGTGGGAACAAGTTTGTGCGCATGAATTTAAACAAGAAGCTCCCTACCGCCCACGTTCATCTCTGCACAAAATATCAAGAATGAACCCATCACATTGTTTTGGATTTGTGTTCATCTTACACTGCATCATTTTAGGCTTTTGTTCATCAAGGAAAAAATAACTAGAATGACTAAAATTTCAAATCCAGAGAGAAGAACTAGCAGCCACCAAGAAAACCAGGAAGGAAGAGCAACATCATGATTTTATAGCACCAGCACTTTTACCACTATGACCAAGACCAACTTTGTGTATCAGTTCAAAAATATGTCAAGTTTACTGCAACAAAAGTTTAATAACCAAAAATTAGATACTATAAACAGTTTCATTATGTCTCAAGTAGAGTACCATTCTATCTTAGAATCCAACAAACAGTTATCTTTCATTTTTCTCTTTCTCATTTCTGGCCACTTCACAGGGAGGGAGGCACAAACAGATGTCACATGAATGTCAGGCTTCACAAAAGATGTACGGTGTCATCATTGAATAAATGAAGCCATATCCAATTGCAATAATGATATTATAACTATAAAATTATAATATTTCAATGATCTGACTTAATGACGATGTAAATGTGACAGAGAAATGACAATATACATATATAATAAACAGACACATTTACCATTTAACTTTGTCGCAAGAAATTCATATATGAACATTTGAGGAGTACATTGAACTCATTGGCCTCCTCTGAAAAAAGATAAAAAAAAAAAAACAAAAACCATATATGGGAAAGGAAAAAAGAACGTAGTGAATATAGTAAATTAACCTATGAAAACTGTCAATGCTGCTTTAACATTTTTGTTCATCAGAAGTATTTCTGTCAGGCCAATCAAGGAATTTGTACCCATTTAGGGAGGGTGGTAAATAGCTCTGGTTCAAAGTGGGATTATCAGGAGTGTATATGTATCCCTTCCCATAGCCAAGTTCCTTCATTAGTTTAGTTGGTGCATTTCTAAGATGAAGAGGCACTCCCTCATTCTGTCCAACTGATTCCCTGACAACCCTCTGAGCTGCTTCTATTGCTCGATAAACAGCAATAGATTTAGGAGCTAAGGCCAAATAAGCAACACACTGTGTAAGAATCACATTGCACTCAGGCATACCCAAAAAGTGGCAGGCTTGGTAGCATGAAACAGCCTGAGTAAGAGCAGATGGATCAGCCAACCCAACGTCCTCACTCGCAAACCTTATCAATCTCCGCGCAATGTAAAGAGGCACTTCACCTCCTTCCAACATTCTTGCCAACCAATAAATTGCTGCATCAGCGTCACTTCCCCTCATTGATTTGTGTAGAGCACTAATTAGATTATAGTGCTCTTCTCCAGCTCTATCATAAGCAAGGTGCTTGCACTGAAGCGCCTCTTTTGCATCATCCAGGGTAACAATATGAACAGATGGACAAGCTCTATTTTCTTGGTTTATTTGACCATCCATGCCTTCAGTTTCTTTGACATCCTTAGATTTCTTATCATCTTGTGACCGAGCAGCTGCTGTAACAGCTGCAATCTCCAATGCATTCAATGCCACCCGAGCATCACCATCACAATTGTTGGCCAAGAAAGTGATCACATCTTCAGCTACGTCAACTTGAAAACCAATGCTTTGCACCAATCCTTTGTCCAAATTATCCACAGACCTCTTTAGAATCATCACAACATGCTGGGGTTTCAAGGGGTTCAGGGTAAGTACACGACACCGAGACAGCAATGGCGTAATCAAATGGAAAGAAGGGTTTTCAGTAGTAGCACCAACGAAAACAATACTTCCATCTTCAATAACCGGCAAAAAAGAGTCCTGTTGAGACTTGTTAAACCTGTGAACCTCATCCACAAACAGAACAGTTCTTTGATTACACTTAACTCTCAGTTTCCTAGCCTCATCTACCGCATCTCTCACATCCTTAACACCACTAGTCACAGCAGATAACGAAACAAAGCGATAAGAGAAGCATTGTTGTTTCTGAGAAGAACTTGCTGAATTAACAATGGCTTTAGCAATAGAGGTCTTACCTGCACCAGGAGGACCCCAGAAGACGATGGAAGGAAGACGGCCCCGTTCAATGGCGGAGCGAAGGAGCGAATTAGAAGCAAGCAGATGTTCCTGACCGATAACATCATCAATAGTTCTGGGACGCATTCGCTCATACAAGGGTTCGTGGGGTTTGGCATTAGAAGCATTTTCAACACCCCTATGACCACGAAAATGATTCAGAAAGACAGGAGAACTGGGCTTGGTGTTAGATGGTGATAGTTTGAGACGTTTGGATGACGACGGGTTAACATTTGGGGTTGATACTTCTAAGTCTAAATCTGCTTCTTCTTGTTCTTGTTGAATGGTTTGTGATGTGGCTGTGATTTTAGAAGAGGGTTTGGATTGAAACTGGAAAAAGCGATCAAGTTTGGGCTGAACTGGAGAAGGGTTAGAGTTAGAGGCATGTTTAGAAGGAGAAGTGGCTTTGTGGTTTAAGATCCATTCGGTGGCTTCAATGGTGGATTTGCCGCCAGTAGCAGCTAGGGCTTCTGCTGCTAACTCATGTGGGAACCCCATATTTAGAAGCTGTTGCATCTCCATTGGTAGTGTCAGCTTCTTGCCAGTCTCCGTAATCTGTTCGTTCTCGCTTATATCTTTCGCCATTCTCGCAGGTTTTCCTGAATTCCATATTTTGGTTCTGAGCTAGGAAGGAAGGTATAAATATTAAAAAAAAAATGTAAAATTTTAGAAACTTTTAGTTTTAAATTAAACATTTATAATTTATTTTTTAAATTAAATTCTTATAGTTTACTTTTTTTTTTAAGAAAAGGACAATAATATTACCATAAAAGAAAATAATTTATATAAAGGTTAAAAGGAAGATGTGTGATATTGGGACCACATATCCTTCTCAATTAAGTATCTGTCAATGAAAGATAAATAAAATTAAAGGACAATAAAATAGGAGAATGATATAGAAATCTTAAAAAAATCAATTAATTCAACTTATATCTCAATTACTAAATTTTAAAAATTTGTAAGTTCGACTTTTAATTTTGTAGCTTCGTTTATGATGAATTTGTAACATATTTTTTTAAATTTTAACAAGGTTGAAAAATAAATAAATTTGTTTTCCTAGTTAAAATTTGAAATATAAGTTACAAATTCATCACAATAAAATTTTAAAATTGAGAATCTAACTTGCAAATTTCAAAAATTTGGCACTTGAAACTTAAATTAAATTAATTGATCTTTTTAAAATATTTTTATCATTTTTTCCAATAAAATAGACAAGATGTCTTCAAAGATAGCTGAAGAAGACATCTTCGGGCTATTAAATTTGGGGAAGATCTCGCTTATATCTTTTTCTATTCTTGTAGGATTTTCCATTTCAAAAATTCTATATTTTGGTTCAAAGTTAGAAATGAAGGTACAAGTATTACAAAATTAATTTAAAATTTTAGATATTTTCAATTTTAAATTAGATATTTATATGTTTTTTTTGAATTAAATTCTTATAGTTTATCTGTTTTTTTTTGAAAGAAAAGGACAATAATATTACTATAAAAGAAAATAATTTACATAAAGGTTAAAAGAAAGATGTGTGATATTGGGACCACATATCCTTCTCAATTAAGTATCGGTCAACAAAAGAGAAATAAAATTAAAGGATAATAAAATGGGGAGAATGATAGAGGGGTTCAAAAAAAAAAATTAATTAATTTAACCTAGAGTCCAATTTCTAAACTCTAAAAATTTTTAAATTTAACTCTCAATTTTATAACTTTATTATGATAAAGTTATAACTTATTTTTTAAATTTAACATGATTGAAGAGTAAATAAATTTATTTTTTTCATTAAAATTTAAAACATAAATTATAAATTTATCACAACAAAGTTACAAAATTAAAAACCGAACTTATAAATTTTTAAAATTTGATACTTGAAACCTACGATGAATTAAGTGATCCTTCTAGGACCTCTCTATTATTTTTTCTAATAAAATAGACAAAAAGCCTTCCAAAATAGCTAAGGAAGACATCTACGAGTTATTGAATTTGGGGAAGACCTTGCTTTTATCTTTTGCTATTCTTGCAAGATGATACATTTCAAGAATTCTGTATTTTGGTTCTGAGCTATAAATGAAGGTACAAGTATTAAAAAAAATTAATTTAAAATGCTAGATATTTTTAGTTTTAAATTTGATATTTATAATTTATTTTTTGAATTGAATTCTTATAGTTTATCTTTTTTTTTGGGGAAGAAAAGGACAATAACATTACTATAAAAGAAAATAATTTACATGAAGGTGAAAAGAAAGATGCGTGGTGCCGGGACTACATATCCCTCCCAATTAAGTATCGGTCAACGAAAGAGAAATAAAATTCAAGGATCATAAAATGAGAGAATGATAGAGACGTTCCAAAAATATTAATTAATTTAACCTAAGTCTCAATTGATACACTTCAAAAATTTATAAATTTGGCTTTCAATTTCGTAATTTTATTGTGATAAATTTTTAACTTATTTTTTTAATTTTTATATAGTTAAAGAATAAATAAATTTTTTTTCATTAAAATTTAAAATACAAGTTACAAATTCATCACAATGAAGTTACAAAATTGAAAATCAAACTTGCAAATTTTTAAAATTTACCATTTGAGACCTATATTAAATTAATTAATCCTTTTAAGAGCTTTTTATTATTTTTCCCAATGAAATAGACAAGATATCTTCAAAGATACCTGAGGAAGACATCTTCGGGCCATTGAATTCGGGCCAATTGATCCATTATATCTTTTGCTATTTTCACAGGATTTTTTATTTTAAGAATTCTATATTTTGGTTCTAAGCTAGAAATAAAGGTACAAGTATTAAAAAAATTAATTTAAAATTCTAGATATTTTCAATTTTAAATTAGATATTTATAATTTATTTTTTGAATTGAATTCTTATAGATTATCTTTTATTTGAAGAAAAGGACAATAATATTACTATAAAAGAAAATAATTTACATACAAGTTAAAAGAAAGATGTGTGATATTGGGCCCACATGTCCTTCTCAATTAAGTATCAATCACCGAAAAAGAAATAAAATTAAAGGACAATAAAATGAAAGAATGACAAACAGGTCTAAAAAACAATTAATTAATTTAACTTAAGTCTTAAGTTTTAAACTTTAAAAATTTATAAATTTGATTCTTAATTTCATAATTTTATTGTGATAAATTTATAATTTATTTTTAAAATTTTAACATGATTGAAAAATAAATAAATCTATTTTTCTAATAGAATAATTTGTCCTTTTGAAATTTCTCTCTCATTCTCCCCAATAGAATAGACTAGATGTCTTCAAAGATAGTCGAGGAAGACATCTTTGGCCTATTGAATTTGAAGAAGAAACAATGTCCATAAGAGATGAAGATGTATTGGTTTTGCATGCAATTGATTGATATGAAATTGCTGAGTCGAAAGAGAGTAGTTGTTTGCGAGAGATATTCTTATTCTTAATCTAGGTGAATGATTGCAGCAGTTGTTTTCCCTATTGAATTGCAATTTTTATCACTGTTTGATCTTTCCTTTTTGTCTTTATGCAGATTAAATTCCATCCATCAATAGTAGTCCTCTGCATCATCAGATTTAGATGAATATACCAAGATTAAACATCTTTAAATCCTGAGATCTTACAGCAAACATCCAGCAAGTAATTTACTTTGTGTTCAATTTCTCTAATAATAGATTATGGCTTTGGAACTTCCCACATAAGATTTACCAGAACTATCAACTTGGTGAACTCCCTGTGATGGTTATCCTGAAGAAAAAAAAGAGTTTAATAAACCCTTTGGATAGGCCTAAACTTATACAAAGAGTTTAATGGCTCATTAATATTATTAGAGACTAAAAAGAGTTAATAAACTCAATGGATAGGTCCAAATTTATACAAAGTGGGCATTGGGTAATTTAGAAGTGGAAATGAGAGTTGTAATATGTGTGTTTGATAATGTTGATGAGTTAAGGAATCAATAATTGTAAGTTGAGCTCTTAAACACAATTTGGCTTATGAATTCAAGCTTGCAAGTTATAATATTGAGGGGTTTAACCTCTCAAAAGTTTGAGATAATCGAGGAAACCTTGTTTTTAGGTAGTTATATGCTCATTAATTTTAATTGTGAATAATGTGGATTGTCACATGCATGAGTTGATTTTAATGTGAAAGCATGTTAATACTTTTGATCTATGTTTTAAAAATATGAATGTGCATGATGTTATATTTTGGCTTGTATTGCAAATGAAAAACTGAGATAGTTTTTTAGGTATGAACATGCATATACTTTTGAAAAGATGAATGTGATATTGGGTTAAGGTAAATGTGGGTAAATGAAGAAATGAGTAATATAATGTTGCGTCAAGCTGTGGCATCAATAGACCCATAATGTAGTGGTAAGCTTAAGTAGGCAACAGGCCTTGGAGTGTGCAGTAAGATGTTATGTTTGAAAAGTGAAAAATAATGTTGAGAAAATGAGATTTGTGAAAATAAGTAGACATCATACATGTTATGATTAGTTGGTGTGAGTTCACCTATAAATTGGAAGTAGTTAAAATTTATATGATATTTTTGGTTGCCCTCTAATGCACGAGGATATAGCCTTATCCCACAGTTTGTTGAGGGATTAGAACCTAACTTTCTCCATCAATTTATTAAGCAGAATAACTCAAGAAATATAACACCTCAGAGATTTGAGAGTAGGGGAAGCCGTGATCCAAGAGTGAGTCATGTGATCTTTGGCCAGATCACACCTTATAATTGGTGAGTTTGGGTAATCAAATCATACGAACGGAGCCTTATTTAATGTTATAACCCACAGTGTGAGTCGGAGGAAATAAGGGGGGTATAAAATTAGTTGATCATTGCCTATATAAATTTATGATGTGTTACATGATTATAATGTGGCAGGTCGCATGGATAACTGGTCATGGTCACAGTTTGAGTGTCTTGTGATAGTATATTCAGTATATACGAGATAAAGATGATTTAAATAAGTAATGATGTGTATGTAAGCATGTTTTAAAAATTTGATTTCATATGCATGTGTTTGATTTCAATTAACATATAATTGCATAGGGTAGGTTTTACCTTGGTTATTGTGTGGCTAAACTTACCCCTTTCATTTAACACTTTATGGACTCTAGCTTTGGTATAGAGAGGAAGAAGGCTCAAAAGGCTAGGAATTAGTACTTCCTACTATATGCCTCTATTTTATGTTTATTTGTGTAATAGAATATTGTTACTAATTTTAGGTTGCATATTGTTGTACTTTCTTTATTTTGTTATTGCAATTATCTGAATTGTATTTTGGGCCCTCAGTATTTGTGTATGATGAGATATATGTTGATAGGGCCAAAATACTAGTGCAAGTATAGAAATGATGTTTCAAACATGTTGTGATTGGTTTTGATGCAATGTAAGGCAAATTGCCTTCCCTTTTTATTTTCAGTGAAAAGGGGGTTGAGGAGTGATTTTGTATTATATTGCTAATTGGCTTGCATGACGTGTTGTACTGATAGTTTTAGGTTTAATGGATATAGTTCAGGTGTTAGGAAAGACTTTTGTTACTTGTTTTGGGTTATAGACACCCTTTGTTGTGAAAAGTGGTCAAAATGGGTTTGGATGTCCAATTTCCTGATATGAGTTG